CTACTAATCGCTTTTATTCAAATCACTCATTTAATAAAATTCTTTAGTGGTCTACAATTCTCATACTACATAAGTTTCAAAACTTCAGCAGGCTGTGAAGTGTCAGAAATATTTAATCTCTTTGACATCAGTGTGCCATAAATTATCAGGCTTTAAATAATTAATAACACGGATATAAAGCTATAATAATATGTTTTATACTAATTTTAAATAATTTAATCATTTTTAAATTATTATTATTATATAAAATGGTTTCTTATATTCTTTGAATATCTCTGTTTTCATATATTTTTTTTCGTTACTAATGGCCTTGTAACCCAATATGAATCCAGTTTGGACTTATGCATTAATTATCATAAAATGTGCATTAATCACGTTTGTACAGGCTGGTATGTGTGCGTGCTTAGTATTGTCCTAGTTTTTATATCAAGCTCTAGCAATCTGGCATTTTATTTAAATTTCAAAATTTTAATATTTTGTTATTGTGCTTTTTAATCTGAGTATTTATACTGTATAGAGAATGTATTTTTTAAATTTTATATTGATTCAATCAAGTTAATCAAGAACAGATATATTCTTCATTATTTGACAGAAATATTTACGTTTGTTTTAAAGAGCATTTGTATGTTCTTCTTTGTGAATTTCTCCTAGACCGACCATTTTTAACTCCCAACTTTGAATATATTATTTTTCTTTTATAATTATCATGACATATAATCTATAATGTAATATTGGCAAGTTTTAAAATATCCCCATTGCTTATATAAAATTATTATTTGAGTGTTTTGTTATAAATATGTTGATTTTTGTTTAATTTATAAAGATGTACCACAAATTATTTCAATATTAAAATAAGATTTCTGTATATATATTTAAAAATAACTGTCTAAATAAGCTATGTGAATTTGTGAACAATCTTATTATTATTGTAAAAGCCTTGTACACTGTATGGTGGGTAATTACCTTGAAATTAGCATATTATTTTGTTCAATATTAACCTGGTGATTTAGTTCATTGTAAATGCAGTGAAATACCAGAAGTTTGGTACTCATTATTTACAAATAAGAACATTATCGTTTTAATTTTCAAATTATTGATTTATATCTTTTCGTTATTCATAAAAGTTTTCATGGTATAATTTTAGATTGACAGTAACACAATATTGTTAAAAATCGGTAGTAAAACTTTGGAAAACTTTTCTTACATGTTGCCATATTCTCTATAATTAATACTGATAGTTTCCGGCACTGGTCGAAATATGTATATACTTCTATTTCGATATATATATGTATGTATATATATATATATATATATATATATATATATATATATATATATAAAAGGTCCCAATAACTTGGAAATAAAAATCATTAAATGGATCACCATTTTACAGCTGAATCTAGGAATAAGATTATCATATAATAATTGAAAATTACAATCGTTGATAAAATATAAACTGAGATTTTTTTTCTTGAAAACAATGTATTCTGTTTTTAATAAGAATGGTGTAATCCATGGAGAGAAAATTATTAGTAAACAAATTATAATAATTTGTTTACCAAACTAAGAATAATCAAAAATAAAAAATAATTTATTTCATTGAGATCAACCATTTTCTTTGTATGTCTCAATTTAACATCATATTGCTACTGTTAGTGCAAAAGGTGACAGTTTGTTGTCTGCAACCACAATAAGTTTTCTGCTACTATGGAAAATAAAATATGAAACTATACTAATAAATCATAAAAAATAATCGTTTTTTTCTCTTGCTGATGCTCTTCTGTAAAAACAAAACTCAATTTTTACGTACCACCTTTTGCACTAACAGTAGCGATATATAAAATGTTTTTTATATATATTATTGTTACATTAAAAAACTTTTTGGGAGCCAAAAATTTATTTTATGACAAAAAATGTTACATCAGAATAAAAAACAAAATAGAAATTTTTTATCTTAATCATTTTAAATATCTTATAATCATTTTCTCCAATAACTAATTTCAGCCACAGTCGCATCTCTATTACTAAAGACATACCCATCTCACTTTCAGTCTGTATGCTAAACTGTTCCATTGAAAATTGTTAAGACGCCCTTAATTATTATTTTTTTAAATTTTACAAGGTTTTTAAGGGATAGAGAAAAAAAATATCTTTTTAGGTTCGGCTTAGAAATTTATTGCACATTCAAAATTCTAACGTAATTCTTATTACCTCTTATATCTTTCTCATCAATATATATATTTTCAATGTATATAATCTCTACAACCTCAAAATAAAGCTTTTTCTTTTTCCCTTTTTCTTAACAGTGTTGTATCAACACTGTTATAATTTGTAATAATTTTTATGCTGGTAAACAATTTCTATCAAACGTTCCATAAAATCGAAAAATATTTGTAATATATATATTGTTTTTTTTTTATAAGATACTTATCTTTGTTTGTATGAGTATTATTATATTTGATTAGCAAAAAAAGGTTTTAAAAAAGTTGTATTATTTGTTTTCAATCAGAAATCTTATTGATAATGGAATATCAGTAATTTTTAAAGTTTTTTTTTGTGAAATATGATATTATATGCCGAAAATATTCCTATTCTTATTTATTTTCTACCCATAATTTTAAAAAAAATTTAACTAATAAAAGACATTAGCTTAAATTTAGATGTGCTGTGCTAGTTATCTTGGTTGGTGAGGCCAACTGATAACATTTGCAAAAATTTACAGCCTTTGCACTTTTGCCGTCTTTCCCAACCAGATGTATTTCTTTATTTTATTTTATTTTATTAAGAAATTTAAAGGGAAAGTATTTCTTAAAGGAATATTTTAATTCTCTGATCTGTTATTAAATTAATTAAATTCATTTTCACTGACCTATTGACTGAAGCATTTTCTCAAGTGAGAGCTGTTGCTTCTTCTAAACCACCGCAACTGAAGGATTTCACAATTAATGAAATGGCGTGATCTTTAATAAAATGTTAAATTAAAAAATGAGCACTTTAAGACATAACCAGGTTCCTTATTTAAGTAACTTACGATTAGCTTATAAAAGAGTAAAATGGAATGAGAAATATTTAAAACTGATGTGTTGTTAATTTTGTACTTCTCTTTTAATATTCTCGGTGTTTTAAGCAGTTTAGTGTTCAAATGAAAATTTCAATTATTATAATTTTTTTTAGAAAATTTGTGTCACATTTTACTGATGTCGGTATTTTATAAAAGTATTGAACTTTAGAATTGAATTTTCCTCCAAGTTAAAGGGAACATTTTTCCAAAATGGAGCAATTTGGACTGTACTTTATCTTGAAATTTCTTGAGATTTTTAGAATTATATTTTTACCATTTGTGCTTTAGCCAAGGATGAGAACATTCGCGAATTCGGCACCCTTTTTATTTTCTTATCCTTCATTTTATTTTTCAACTATTGCAATATAAATACATGCAATATATCCATATACATCTTGTTATTTTTATGTGCGTACATACATACGCACTGTACATATTCAATGTAAACTAGACAAAATTTATGAGAAGGAGTTAGTCGAGGGTGCGGTCAAATAAATAAAAAAATTAAAATATATAAATAATTTTAATTTTTGCCGACGTTTCGACCCACTTTGTAGGTCGTCTTCAGGGCGTAAGGATGTGGCACTGCGGGAGACAGTTGAAACACTGTGTTTTGAAACACAGTGTTTCAACTGCCTCCCGCACTGCCACATCCTTACGCCCTGAAGACGACCTGCAAAGTGCGTCGAAACGTCGGCAGAAATTAAAATTATTTATATATTTTAATTTTTTTATTTATTTGACCGCACCCTCGACTAACTCCTTCTCATATCATATCAACGGTCAACCATCTCTACATCATTAGACAAAATTTACTTCAAACGAAAATGGAATTTGTCACTGTTGAAACCATTTAAAGATGACTTTTGAGTGGATAAACTAAGCAGTGTTCCGTTTTTAAAAAATCATAAATTATTTGCGATTTTTATTTTTCACTCTCCAACTATACTACAGACATCCCAGTTTTAGAAAAACTTTCTTGACTGGTAAGCTTTAAGTGCACATTAATTAAGTTGAGGGTTTATTACGAAATAAGTTGAAATCCACCAAAAGTTGTGTTTTGATATCCTGTTACATTAAAGTCCGTTTTTTTTTTCAGCAAAAATGCTTATTGCAAAGCTTTAATTTATTTTCCATTATCTGGGATGTATTATATAAACATAAATTCTTAAATTCAATTTTTATTTATTACAAAAGAAATGTTAAAAATAATGATTTTTCCAATATTTATTAGTTAAAATGATAATGAAACTATGTTTTTATTAAGCTTTGTGTTAATTAGAAATTGATCTTTCTTTATTAATTGAATACATATGAAAGGGAATAGATATTAAACGTTTCCAATCCTAATATCTACGTGTAAAATAAAGAAGCTTCCTGATGCTTGAATTGTTTTCATTGGGATTGGATTCATTTAATTGATCACTTATAAATAGAGAGCAATTTCTATTCCCATTTGGATGGTGATAAATAAAAATCGAGAATAATTCATGTTTTTTTTTTATTTCACAACATAGCTTAATTTATTTGCACAAAATTCCTCTTTAAATTGTTTTAACAATAACAAACTTTACTTTCTCTTGAAGCAAATTTTGGCTAGTTTACAGTGAAGCAGTAATAGTTAATTAAGTATATTAACTAATGATTCAGTTATCGCTTCCTATTCATCAACAACCATTACTTACTTTAAAATGTTAGGGATAGAAATTATAATTTAACAGCTTTCTTCCTTCAAATATTATGCATATATTTATTAATCAATATGGCTTTAAGACACTCAAATATATTTTTGTTTATGTTTATTTCACCCGTTGAATATTCTCATTCCATATTTATTTGTATTGAATAAAGATTTACATTTTTTTTTAAATTATATTTTTTTGAAGATCCAATATTTTAATGAAGGCCTCCAAAATCTTTCCGTTGTCCAGGACAGAAAATGTGGTTCGCACGTCTCTCCCCCACCGAGCCACAGGCAATAAACGTAGAAAATAAAAACACAAATCCGTCTCGCAACAGCCCACGAAGGGTCTGGAAGGGCAGGTGGAGGGGAGAGAGGAGGGAGTTGGCAATAGTGTAGGAGCCATATTCACGACCTTGTTGGATGATGTCTGATCAGCACTACACCACAACCACTTGATTTATCTCTTGACTAATACCATTTTTAAAAAGTTTGAGTTGAACCCAAGCCGCGTTTCTCATCCTGGCTAAACCCATCAAATTCCTTCTGTAATCAAATATCATTTTTAATTAGGTCGATTTTCGGGAGTTGGTGTTTGGTTTTGTATAATTGTTTTTCTCTTTTACGTTGTTGATAATCTAAATAAAACGTTTTAGCCTATGCTGTGTCCCACTTCGCCCTTCGCATGGAACTGGTTTGTTCCTGCCCCACTACCCTTCAAGACCTGCCCGATCTTGAAGGCTGGCGAGCACATCCCAACTGGCAGTGGCAGTGTGGTATTGCAAAACGTATCTGGAAGCGGGAGGACAGCGCGAGACCCCGATACTCGCCGAACTGCCATTATTTCAATATGCAATCGGGTCATGGCAGCTCACTATTGGCAACACACTTTAATCGCTCTCTCTGCCATTTTTATTTCAAAATAAAAATTTCCTTATAAATTTGATTTATAATTGTTTTCGCGAGGCATTTTAATGTTCGATATTGATTTGAGCTATTCCCGAATGTGAATGATGAATACAGAATTCGGTCGGGTGAGTTAGACAGTCGGTTCAAGAAAACAAAATTGTATTGAAGCAGGGGTGTCCAGAAACAACCATCAAAATGTTAAAAGGGGTTTGTGCATGGTTTTATTTTTGTGGAGGAAACTATATTTTTGTAGATTTTAAACTTTGAGAAAAATATCAGAAACCAGGGAGCAATAATCCTCGATACAGAAACCTTTTTTTATCCAATCATTAACACTCATCAAAAACATCGTGAATGGCTTCATTTTATTGTCACCTTTACGAAAATTCTTGGAAATGAGACGTTTTCAATCTTGAGATTGTTTTTTCGTTAATTTCGTAAATGGTAAATTTCGTTAATTTAATGAGTTAATGAAAACTCAAGAATACCCATTTGCTTTCCGCTTGAATCGTAAGATCAATTGATCACAAAATCGAGAAAAAAAATTGGTCTAAAAAAGAAGTTGCCCTGCAAACTGGTTGTTTTGACATGTTGGAGGTAGAGGTCTTGCCAAACGGTTCAATATTTTTTTATACCACCTTTTTTCTCCATTTTGTAATAAATTTATCTTATAATTCAAGGGGGAAGCAAAAGGATATTTCTAGGTTTTTAGTATCTCGTTAACTTAGCGAACTTTACCGATTAGTCCGTGGTACAGACCCCTTTTTATCAAATTATTAACATTCGCCTGAAACTTCGTAAATAGCTTCATATCATCGTAACCTTATAATCTTATTCCAAATATCTTATTCACGAAGATTCTCGCAATTGTGGCATTTTCAATCTGGCGGTCATCAAACTTTGTCTATTTAATTAGGTTCTAAAAAACGCGTTAATACTCATTTGCTTTCCACTTTAATCGTAAGAAAACTTGAGCACAAATCCGAGGAAAAAGGTGGCCATCATAAATTTGAGCCGTTTGGCGCGACCTATACTCCCAAATCATCAAAATAACGAGGTTATATAGTCCAAACGGCTCAATATTTTTGAAGGCCATCTTTTTTCTCGCATTTGTGCTCAAGTTATTATACGATTAAAGTGGAAAGGAAATGGGTATTTACGAGTTTTTAGTACCTAATTAGGTAGACTAAGTTTGCCGATCTCCAGATTCCAAGAATTTTCGTAAATGAAGTATTTGTAAGATTTAGTTAAAAACTTGTAGTTCGCAATAAAATTAAGCCATCCACGAAGTTCTGGACGGGTGTCAATAATTCATTAAAAAGGAGTCCTTACAGCGGACTAAAAAAAGGTAAACATGGAACAAACACGACAAAAGTAATTTTATATTACTACATTTTTTTAAATTTCACTTTCGCATGCGTTGTTTTTTCAGAGAATGGTAGTAATAAAATATCTTAGGAGTGTGAGAGGGGAGGGGAGGATGGTTTATACGCCGTCAACCTATTAGGAGGAATAGACAGACACTCCTGAATTAAATTGGTAAATATTTTAATTTGTTTATTCTGATTTGAATGTCATCAAAGATAAAATATATTATCTTGTTTATTAACAAATATTACTGTCTGTCACAATAGCTACTATAGATGATTTTGCGCATTCATAAAAGTAAAATGATAAATTGAAACATTGGGATATTTGTAAGATAAAAACACCATAACTTGCGACATAACGCGTATTGAGATATCTAATTTTTAAATAATTAGAAAATAAAATAAATATATGTATATAACAAATTATAGTAATATAAGTAAATAATTAAATATAACATACAATAACTGAAATAATAAGCAACAGAACAAACAACAAAACAAAAATTTATGAGGTTTGTGATGAACAAAAAGATTCACGTGAAAATTGAAAATTTGGTCGTTATAAAGTGGAGAACATAAGAAATGAATGTTGAAAAAAATATAATCTAAAAAGAAATTAATGAGGAAGGAGATGGTCCGCCACCCCGGACATTAATAATATAAAACGGTTAACCATCGAGTATACAATTAGATTTGGAAACAATAATTGTGGAAACTTTATCATTTCACTGTCATACCTCCTAATTTTAGGAATTTATATAATTTTTTCTTTAGTCCGTAAATATGGTATGAATGATTGTTACATTTAAATTTCCTACACCTGATAAATTCTTCGATACCAGGTTGGGCAATTCGTTGAGGGAGATATTATAGTATACTTAACTGTCTTATCATATCCACCTAACCCAGTGCCAATAGGCACTTAAGTTGTAAACTACTCATAAAAATTAATAATTTGCTTTTATGGCTCTTTAAAAGCATATTAAAATTTATTACGAATATTACATCATATATATTTTTTAATAGATCTTACGTTTGAAGTTGCATAATATTAACACCCTTACTATCCTCATATTTAGAAAGGTGTGTGAAATTTTATACTTGAATTATAATTTTCAATTCCATTTAATTTTCGTAAAAGGAGCTTTTCTGTATATACCCGAATGGGCAGGATGTATGTAATTAAATTATTGATATATACATTCGGTGGGTTTTAGGTACCAAATCGAAAATAATTGTCCAAGAGCTCGTGCAAAAAAAAAAAAATATCGAAATTATTTGATGAAAATTTTGAAGCCATTTTTTTGAATATTTATATTTAAAAAATGAAAGTCTGTCAATCGGCTGATTTAAAGAATATTAAGCCAGTAACTTGAGGATCCAAACGGGAAATCCATTGCGAAAAATGAGTGAAAATTTTTTATTTTTTTAACATGTATATGTAGATTTAGGCATGTGAAAACAATATTGCTAACGCGGTCCACCAAGGAAAAGCTTTTTACAGCCAAAAAAGTTTTTTTCACCCATAACTCATAAACGGTTGATCGAAGTGAAAAACATACCCTTTAAGAAATTAAAGAACGTTAAAGCGTGTGTCGAATGAGCACTACAATAATTTGGTTAAGTGGTATGGTCGATAACCATGGTCAACAAACGCTGATTTTTAGCAAATTTGTCGAAAATTCAGACAAATTATAATAAATGGTTCTGCATCTTGGAAATGAGCTCCCTTGTGTTAGAGAAAAATCTAATAGAATAAAAGTTATAGAGCATCAATTCCCTCATTTTTCGTAATGTATTTCCGTTTCAATTCCCAAGTTACTGGCCTAATACCCTTTAAATCAGCAGCCATTTTTACAGATTGCAAGATCTGACTGGTAGACTTTCTGTTTTTAATATAAATAGTATAAATATTTTAAAAAATGCTTTAAAAAATTTAATCAACTAATGTCAATTTTTTTTCACTGGCTCTCGGATTATAATATTTTATATGTTATATTTCTGTTATATATTTTTTGAAACTAATGATTTATATACTAACATTTTTTCTCTTGATTATCTCGTTATTTGAATAATAATTAATGAAACACTAGGTCATAAAAAAACTCTGATATTTACCAAATGAAAATATTTAAAATGTTCGTTTGTTAATATGTTTTACTTTTTATTCAGTATAACTTAATACAAAATTAAGAGCATTAATTTTGATGGAAGTAGCACAGGGTTCTCCTGTAGTTCCCTCGTCTGATTGTATATAAGTAAGTATATGTTTTTTTTGCTTAGTTTTATTTGTCTTATTTTTAGGTTATTTTATTTTATTGTTTATTGTATATACCTTTGATTATTATTTTGCTTCTATTTATTTTACATTTTTTGTACATATAGTGTGAATGTTATTCTACCACCCTATAACCAATGTCCAAGAGATTGTTTTAATACTCAATAAATAAACTTAAAAAAAAAAAAAAAAAAAAGATTTTGATGGAAGTTTTACGACCCATTTCTTTATTCCATTTTTATAAAAAAAAAATGGAAAAAAATAAATTGAAAGTAGGCACTTTTCATTAAACTATAATTTACTGAATTGCAATTCCGAAAAATATTTTCTTATTATGCAATTGTTGACTTAATTCAGATTTAGTATCATTTTATTTATTAAGCATTTCATTCCTAAATCAAGGAATTTTCCTCTCTTGTGGTATTTTATTATTTGGAATAAAAAAATTCAATGATTCAGACATTAACGTTGTCCATTTATTCACTATATATTTGGATATTTTTAAATTGCTTCATGTAGCACATATCTCTTTTTTTTTAATTAATTGAAATTGACATTTTATGTTGATGTAGGTAATGTCCCAGAGAATTTTAAGGAAAATTACCTTGTTTCTGTTGAATAAGATATTTCTGTTATAGGTTCTGTGTATTAGATGTTAATATTTTCTTACGTTTGGAGTGGCTTACTGATTTATAATTGTAATTTTTCACAAGTGGGACGAATGCTTACCATTTTTTAATTTATTTTTTATTGATTTAGATTAAGTTTTTCTCATAATATTGGTGATACGTTTTGAAGCGGGATGAATTGAGTAAATTCATCGTGTCACAGCGCCCTTTGACGAATCGCTCACTTAATGACCCAGCTGAACACATTAATTGAAACGACCGCTTTCAATCGACTCATAATTATCCCACGAGCTACCAGTTATTCAGCCTTCATTGATGACAACAAAGATATTTGGAGTTTATATCTAGGCTATGTATGCATATAAGTTGTTTATCGGTTTTTGACCCAATTTTTTTAGAGGGACATCTCGGACTGCAATTCTACGAGTTAAACCTGATCAGAATAAGACATTAAGGTGAAGAAATACTTGTTGGCAAGGACGCCTGTCGATTTAAATTTTGACCGCTTCTTCCTATGCTCAACAAATTTATCCTGGAATATGTTTTCTACAATCATAGATTAAGGATGGTTACAAATATTTACGAAATATTTCTTTGAACTTATGAATATAGATTGATAAAAATGCTGCAAATTATTAAAAAATGGTTTATTATTTCCAAATAGTTATACATCAAATATGTATATATGAAATATGATGTGTCACATTCTGTACTTTTTCTGGAAAAAATTAAAACAAAAT